ACACAAGCAGTCACCACACTGCATATACTTGGTCATTGTCAACTTTGAGAGATGCCACTTTACCTCTGTAATACGAGCCCTAACAACTAAATGTTCGGACAAACTAACCGGAGCGTTCAAAAACCACTCTTTATGAATTAATTTTTAATTTTTATTATCAAATCACATAAAAATAGGAAGCTAAGATTTCAAAGAATAGTTTTTAATAAAAAAGTTGAATGTTTTACTTTACATAGAATTTTAATTCAAATATGACTGTGGATTTTTCAGAAAAAGTAAATACACTTTGGCAACTAATTATTCGGACAAATAAATAAAAAAATTAATTTTCACTAAGTAGGGGGTGTGAATTGTTTGGTTGTTAATAAATGTCATTCTCGTCTTCCTGCTTTACCTAACTGTGTTGTAAGATTCATAGAAAAATATATATATTCTTTAACAAAATGGTTCGTGGACGTCCACTTGAAAAATCATTACGTGCACTTATTGTAAAGAAGTATTGCCAAGGTAAAAAAATTCGGGAAATTAGTGAAGAACTGAATTTAGCAAAGTCCACTGTAGCGGATATAATCTCACATTATCGCGAAACTGGTGGACTAGAAGTTAAAGGAAAAAGTTCAGGAAGACCGAAATTAGTTTCAGAAAGAAGTCAAAGGCTCCTTGTAAAACTTTGTAAAAAAAATCGAAGAAACACATTGCGAGACATGACAGCACAATGGACGGATGAAATAGGGCATAAGCTGTCACGAGAATGTTGTAGGAAATGGATTCACAAGTCAGGATTAAGTTTTTATAAGGTAATTTTTAAGTTTTTGGTTTACATTTGTTCCACCGTGCCGTTACAGGCCAAAGAAAAACCTTTAATAACGGCAAATCAAAAGAAAAATAGGTACAACTGGGCAAAGTCTAAGCTGGCATAGACCATGGAAGATTGGTCAAAGGTCATTTTTAGTGACGAGTCAAAATTTGATGTGTGCGTGGGAGATTTGCGGAGAAGAGTGATAAAATCAAAAAGTGAAGCGTTCAATAAAGACTGTTTAAAACGAACTGTAAAGTTTCCTAAAGGAATAATGGTGTGGGGATGCATGTCAGCTAAAGGGTTGGGGAATTATGAATTGGTGGAAACGACTATTAACGCCATGAAATACCAACAAATTTTTGAAAACAGTTTGTTGCCCTCTGTTGAAAAACTGTATCCGGACAACGATTATATTTTTCAACAGGACGGTGCATCATGTCATACCGCAAAAAGTACTAAGAAATGGTTTGGGGATCATGATATAAGAGTCCTTTCATGGCCTGCGAACAGCCCTGACTTAAATGTCATTGAGACACTTTGGCACGACATAAAATCCGTTTTGCGCAACAACCCCCAACGAACACTCTTAGGTTTAAATGCAAAAATCGACGAAGTTTGGGCAAGTCTTACTCCTGAATACTGCAGAAGTCTTGTAAGTACTATGCCTACAAGGATACGCGCAGTAATCAAAGCAAAAGGAGATGTTACAGCATACTAAGTAAAAAAAAATACTCATGTCCGAATATTTAGTTGCCAAGTTTATTCGTTCATATCAGCTTTTTGTTGTGTTATCATTTTGTTAAGTTAATAATATTACAATTTTTGTTCAGAATATTGCATTAAAGATACCTACTTATATATTATTCTAGTTTTGTTTTTGTAAAATGCATTTTTTTTCATTAAATTACAATTTTTTGTATAAAAGAATACGTGTCCGAACATTTAGTTGTTAGGGCTCGTATTTTGTATTCGATTTTAATAATGGGGATTATCCTTCCTTAAATAACTTTATGGCGGACGTTAATTGGGAAACATATTTTAACGGTATGAGCATTGATGAGAAAGTTTCTTTGTTTTATGATATTCTTTTTGTTGGAATGAATAACTTTATTCCCAAAATAACTATCAAGTCTAGCAATTATTCATACCCTAAATGGTTTAATAGAGATCTAAAAAATTTGTGTTTTCAAAAAAAAACTTGCTCATGCAAAGTATAAGCAATCGGGGAAACTGGTAGATTACCTTCAATTCAAGTCACTACGTACAAATTGTAAGGATCTTAGTAAAAACCTTTTTGATTCCTATGTTGCAAGTGATTCGAAATACTTCTGGAAATTTGTTCGAGATAAAAGTAAGGATAGTGCAATACCTAACTTTATGACATTTGAAGATAAAACTGCGAACAATGGGAATGACATCTTGGGCTTGTTTGCGGAATATTTTTCGTCTGTATATGTGTCTGATTCTAAAGTTGTGTCGGATTATGTCGGTCATAATTTTCTAGAAGTGTTTGACGGAGGCTTAAAAATTACACTTTCAAATGTTTTTCAAGCGATTAACAAACTTAAAACATCATGCTCTTCTGAACCAGATGGAGTGCCTAGCATACTGTTGAAAAAGTGTATATGTACTTTAACGGTCCCATTATTTTTATTATTTGAAGCATCTCTTAATGAGTGTAAGTTTCCGGACTGGTGGAAGAATAGTTATGTGATACCAATTTTCAAAGCTGGCAGTCGAACAAAAGTTGAAAATTATAGGGGTGTTTGTAATCAATCGATTATCCCAAAGATTTTAGACGAGATAGTTTCTACACAACTGCAGTGGATGTCTTATTCCATACTATGTGATAATCAACATGGCTTTATGAATGGAAAATCTTCTCTATCAAATCTACTGACATATTATACGTTTCTTAACGAATCTTTTCAGGGTAAAGTGCAAGTTGATTCTATTTATACGGATTTCGCTAAGGCATTCGATAGGGTTAATCATAGCATCTTAATTTCAAAACTGAGTCATCTGGGTTTTCGACATGATACTATTAAATGGTTGCATTCTTTCTTATCTGGTAGATGTCAGCAAGTTAGAATTGGTAATTTTAAATCTCAATCTTTCAACGTTACTTCGGAGGTACCCCAAGTGTCACATTGTGGACCGATTCTTTTTTTGCTTTTTATCAATGATCTGCAATATTGTTTCAAATCTTCAAATTTTTTGCAATTCGCTGATGATCTAAAAATTTATAAGTGTATACATTCCGTGGAAGACGCGTATGCATTACAGTCAGACCTGGACAGGTTACCAGAATGGTGTCTTGGCAATCAGTTATTTTTGAATACTAGCAAATGTTACTCAATATCGTTCGCAAATTTAAAATGTACTCTAGCACATACATATAATATATACGGCATTTCATTAAAATAGTTGGTGAGGTAAAAGATCTTGGAGTCATCTTTGACACTAAGTTAACCTTTAAGAATCATTATAATTATATTTTTAAAAAAGCTATGAACATGTGGGGTTTTGTGTGGCGCATGCTATCAACAAATTCTTTAAGGGTTCTCTATTGTTCTTTGGTACGATCACAGTTGGAATATTGTTCTTCGGTCTGGCACCCTTACTATAAGTCTGATATTGATCTTTTAGAAAGGGTTCAGAAGAAATTTCTTCGCTGTATTGAATTTAAACTACGGTTGACTCACCAAGCGGGAAATTATGAAATAGAGAAATTATGAATTTACCATCTTTAGATCTTAGGAGAACATTAGCAGACGGGTGCGTTTTGCACGGAATTATAAATTTTTATATAAACTGTCCGTACCTTTTATCAAAATTGTCATTTTATGTGCCTCAAATCGATGTATGCGTAACACGTACTTATAAAATATTTAGGATTTCTTCATCAAAAATAAATTTATCTATTAATAATCCGATTAAAAGATTTATGGAGTTAGGAAACAGGTTAGCTTCTATAAGATCATTTGATTTATTCATAGAGTCAAAAATTTTATTTAGGAAACATTTTTTATTAATCTTAAATAGTGGATAGTTAATATTCTATAGTTACAATTTAAAAGTGGGTATTTATATAACGTTAATGTTTTTAGTTAGGATTAGAATGTTTGTATCAGGTTTTGCAATTTAATGTAATTATTATTGTAAACGTGGAGAATTCTGTAAATAAATAAACAAACAAACAAACATTAGATCTACCTAGTTGGTAAATGTTACAAGATATTTGACTTTATATACAGTAACTGTAAGGATTTCACTAAAATTAAATCCTTAAATGATTTGTATTTTTCATTAATAAGATCACATGTCGAATATGCAGCACTTGTTTGGAATCCGGTATATAATTCCTAAATTAACCAATTTGAGGCGGTTCAGAGAAAATTTTTGAAATTTATGTGCTATGTAATAATGCGTCTACGCTGCCAGAGGTTGTGATCATGTAGAACTATTATTTTAGCTTAATTAATTTCAAAATTTCATATGTTATTTTATACAAATGTATCCAAAACCAGTACGCTTATACGATCACCAATTTCTATTATGTGTGAATATTTTAACTTAATTTTTAAAGAATGTGATACTTATTTTGATTCTGAGAAACAGTTGTTTAATGGAATAATTAAGTTACGTGAAACTAAATAGTTAAGCATTTTTTTTCTTTGTTCGTATTTTTTTTATTTATACGAGTATTTCCTACCATTTTTCTTAAATATTTTTTTTTGTTCAAATTTATACATTTCCTGTAATTGGGTGCGACCTGTTGGAAATAAATCTATTATTATTATTATTAAAATCCAATAAAGAAAGTAGTAGAGAAAATATCGAACAGCAATAAACGCCGAAAATTCAAGAAACATTCGACACCCGAAAACGCTTCTAACGAATGGAAAAACAAATCTTTATGCAAAGTTTATTCGGGTGTAAACCGATTTACGACTTACCTTGATTCTTTGTGACATATATTAGTTTTTGCCATCAATCTCTAGAGTTCAAATTTTGTAATTCACACAAAATATTAAACAAAAGGTTTGTTATTATTCTAAAAAGTAGTAAGCAATGACTGTAACATTCTCTGGTATTTATAATGGGTTACTTGTTTCAGATGTATTTTAGTAAGTAATATTTCACGCGACGGCAACACTGCAGACCTTTGTTTTAATGACACTTTCAATAATACAAGATAGCGTTTTAGATTTTTCTTTATTTTTTAATTAAACAGTCTTATTTCTAATGGTTATATTTAATAAAAAAAAATATAACATTTATTTCACACAAAACATACCATAATTTGTCAATTTAAATCGAAAGATAATAATTAAAGTATAATTCAGCAAGGAGGCATACACTCAAAATTGTAACATTGGGCAAATTTTTCACATTCGTATTGAACTTCGGCCAACATACTTTGTACCTCATGTATTTTATCAATACCTAAAGACACCGCAACATTTTTTGTATTCTCACACAAATCATGAATTGCCTTGTGTTTTCTGATTAATTTCAAAAACCTCAGATTATATTGCACTGCCTCGCAATAGCTCAATAGGTACTCTTTTAGAGCCGCAAAGTTTTCGAAAGAGTCATCTTGAGCTTCGTGCTCTTCAGCGTCTACCAACGTACTCACAATTTCATCCTCACTTCTCCAACCTCTCGTATACGACAAATTTAATTCTTTAGAATTATTGCGCAACACCTCCGACGCTTTAATTTTTAATATACCATTTTGATCAACTATTACTGTTACCAGAACTCTACACAATCGTGGTGGTGCAGGAGTGATATTGTTTAAAGTCAAAAAACCCAAATAACGATTTTTCGTCGCTTCGACACGTTCACCTTCATACACATCAAACCGTAAAGACGTCTGTTGATCTTCGGTTGTACGAAATTGTAGAGTGTTTTCTGCGGGTATTGGAGTATCTTTTCTTACAATAAAATGCATTCGATTCACATAATCCATCACCCCGAGTGATAACGGAACAACATCGGTCATTTTCATTTTTCTTATTTTTTGTTTCGAACTATTGGCCAACATTGCAGCCTGAAGAGCAGCTCCTTCGGCCACACATTCATCCAAATTTACAAACTTGGTTAAAGATTTTCCGTTAAAATAATTGGACAACATCTCTTGGATTTTTGGAATGCGACTAGAACCTCCCGATAGGATAACGTTATTGATTTTATTAATCGGTACTTTTGAAGATTTAAGACACCTGTCGACGATTTTGATGGTCCTCTCGAACAAATTCTGAGCTCTGGACTCAAACTGCTGCCGACTCAACTCAATCGTCACAACGCGTTGGTTAGGCACAAACCCATCCAGAATGATGATTGTCTGTTCGGCTGTTGACAACTCAATTTTGGCCTCTTCACATTTATTTTGTAATCTACGTATCTCTCTTCTTTCTTTTTTAGGATAATATCTATAGGTTTTTGCGAGTTCCTCTATGATAAGATTATCGAAATCCTTTCCTCCTAGATTTGTATCTCCGTCCACACCGATGATGTCAATGTTGTTAGAATGCTTTTTTAGAACGGACACATCAAAAGTACCGCCACCTAAATCGTAAACCAACGAATAAGACTCACTTCTAATGTCTTTTTTATAGTAAAAACTCAAAGCTGCTGCCGTAGGTTCGTTAAAAAGCTTCAGAACGGTAAATCCAGCCTGATTAGCTGCAGCTAAAATAACTTCTCGCTCGATCGACTTAAAATATGCTGGTACTGTTATAACAGCTTTGCTAACAGCATGTCCTAACTTAGTTTCGACGTCTTTCTTTAATTTTGTGAAAATTAAGGCGCACACTTCTTGGGGTGTTAACTTCACTGTTCCGTTCTCCCGTTCTATTAAAATCACTGGGGTACCAGAATCGTTTTTCACATCGAAGGAATAGTATGGTAAATTTTTTTTAAGGCTGTTGAAACTTTTCCCAACAAATCGCTTTATTTCTAAAACATAACATTTAGATTTTGCTTTAAGAACATGTAAAATTCTTACCATAAATTCCGTTGCTTGGTAGCATGTCTGACATTTTTTTAGCACATTGGCCGACGATCGGTGCTCCAGGTTTCTGCAGAAAAAACACGTAAGACGGTGTTAATCTTCCCCCATCTGAGTTTTCTAAAACTTCGAGCGCACTTTTTCTGTACACGCAAACACAAGAATTTGTAGTTCCGAAATCTATACCAATTGCTATGTCGGCCATGATATTCCGATAACTATTCAACGCAACTCTCGATTCCTACACCATATTTTATCTGTTATTTTATCGTCCTAGAGATTTAGGGGACTCCCATTTAGTATAGCGGTATCGTACACTGCACTACTAACACACAATGGTTTTAAAATAAATATCTCACTATCCAAAATCGCGTTGTCTTTGATATGGAAAAGATTAAAAGTATAGATAACTTATCAGTGGAAATGCGATATATTTTATATACACCGACATGAATCCAGTCCGTGACACCTGAATTGCGAACTTGTGGTAGATGTCAGTTTACTGGACTACACAATTATGGACGACCTAGCTATTGGCATCGATCTGGGAACTACAAATACCTGTGTTTCTTGCTACAAAAATGGTATAGTGGAAATTTTAGAAAATTCCGATGGAGGAAGACTTACTCCGTCTTGTGTATTTTTCTTAAAAAAGACTGGAGGACCAGTCGTTGGACAATGCGCGAAGAAAATGACAGACATGTTGCCATCTAATGGAATTTATGGTAAGGTATTAACCATGTACTTGCACCAAACTTCAGTATCTCGCTTTTAGAAATTAAACGATTTGTGGGCAAAGGTTTCAACACAGTAGAAAAAACGCTGCAATATTTCTCCTTCACAGTAGAAAACAGCTCCGACTCTCCAGTAGTAATAATTGAACGAGAAAATGAAACGCTGAAAGTGACTCCACAAGAAGTGTGTTCTTTGATTTTGAAAAAAGTAAAACAAGACGTGGAAACCAAATTGGGACACACCGTAAACAAAGCTGTTATAACCGTTCCTGCTTATTTCAATACGACCCAAAGAGAAGTGACTTTAACAGCAGCCAACGAAGCAGGTTTTACCGTCTTAAAACTATTTAATGAGCCAACAGCCGCAGCTTTAAGTTATTATTTTAAAAACGACGACGAAAGTGACTGTTATTCTCTAGTTTATGATTTGGGCGGTGGCACTTTTGACGTATCCATATTAAAAAAAACTTCAAGCAATATTGATATCATTTGTGTGGACGGTGATACACAGATCGGTGGAAAAGATTTCGATAATCTTATCATTGATTATGTTTGTGAGCATTTAAAAAAAGAATACAATTATGATGCGAAACAAAACAGAAGAGACATGCGCAGACTACAAAATACCTGCGAAGCAGCAAAAGTTGAGTTATCAACCCTTGAAGAAACCAGCGTTATTCTACATGGTTTTGTTCCTGACAACAGAGTGGTAGAAGTAGAATTAACAAGAAAAGATTTCGAACTGAAAGCATCCACTTTAATTAAACGAACAATCAACATTGTTGACAGATGTCTTAAGAGCTCTGAGATTTCAAAAAACGAAATTAGGGACGTTATACTAGCAGGTGGTTCCAGTCGGATACCGAGGATTCAAGAAGAATTATCTAGATATTTTGGCGGTAAAATTCTCAACAGATTTGTTCATCTTGACGAGTGCGTAGCAGAAGGAGCTGCTCTTCAAGCAGCAATGTTAGCCAACAACCCTAAACAAGAAATCCGGAAATTGATAATGACGGATGTAGTTCCATTATCACTGGGAACAAAAGAATGGTATGGAAAAATGATTTTTATCATAAAGAAAGGTACTTCAATACCGACAAAAAACTCTGTAACTGTGTTTAACGCATTCGATCAGCAGAAAAAGGCCTCTTTTGAAGTGTTCGAAGGTGAACATTTAAATGCAAAAAAAAATCGATATTTAGGCTTGCTCACCTTAGAAAATATCACTCCGGCCCCCCCGAATGAAAGAAAACTTTGTTACTTTTGCTATTGACCATAACGGTGTACTGACAATCACGGCAGCCGAAAATTCCACCAACAATATGAAAGAATTAACTATCACATACACGAGAGGATTTCGAAATGATGCTGAAATCAAAGAAGTTTTCAACGACGTTGAAAAGAACAAAGAAGAAGATAAACTATTTGCTATATTTGCACAACTAAAATCGTGGTTGATGGCTTACTGCGAGGCTGTAAAATATAACTTAAGGAATCTAAATCTCATTGAAGAGCATATAGAGATATACAAATTATGCGAAACTAATCAAATAAAAGCAACACATTTGGATGATGACAGTCAAACCACGTTGGAAAATCTGATAAGTGAAACTAAACAGGCATGTGAAAATATAGTCAAATCACTGAAATTTACAAGAATGCCGCATCCTCAATAAGTTTCAACATATCGCATTTAATTATTTAGGAATACTCAAAAGAGAATTTTTATTGTTTAGTCCAATAAAAGCACAAATGTTTAATGCATGTTTTTTTATAAGCATAACTTACTTGCTACTTTAGTAAAAAAAAACAAATAATCCGTAATGTTACAGTCATATGAAAATATTAGTCAAAGTCAACTAATCAAAGCTTAATTCGTAACGAAAAATATATGACACCAATTTTGCCTCGAATTTTGAAAAACAAAAATTGGTTATTTCGACAGAACTTTCCTCGCCTCTAAAATACAAGTTCAATAAATCCTGCTTCTTTGAAAAATTATAAAAAAAATGATTTCGCGATTTTCGTCTTGTGATAACCTCTATAAAGTAAACAATATATTTTAAACAGATAACCAACTGCAGAAAATGTAGATATTCTCGATTTCTCAGTACATGCTTAAACTTCGACTTGTTTATATGTTTATGGTTCTAAAAAATTCCACTATTAGCACATTCAGATTACAAAGCACCAACGGTTAAAAGAACATTAAATTTTACTGATTTTGTTTTCTCAGTTTTTTTCCAAAAACACTTATAAATTTGAAACACCTTTGCGAAAACTGTAAATGACGAATAAATTTTGATTAGCGATTTACGATGCTTTCCATTACCATAAAATATTTGCAGATACAAAGATAAATTGTAAAATACTGTTATAAAGTTTCATTTTTGCTTCCTAAAAATGTAGATGTCAAGGGTAAAAACTCAACACGGTTCATAAATCACATGTAGAAAACATGTTATTTTATAAAAAAACGAATAAACGAATAAATTTTGATCCACAATAATTTTTTTGCCCAAAAAGTATACCTAGGTAATAGCAGGATAGTACAAGAACAAAATAAATTGACTGATACATTAATTTTTTTCAGTCACCGTGTATAAGCCAATCTAAATAAAGACGTTTGTAACTGACATTTTCGGGAAAATGATCTGACTCGTTCTTAATTTGATCAATAAAAATTATGAAAGCAATAATGAATCCCAAGTAAAAACTCATCACATTTTGCACATTTTGGGTAGAATTTATTCAGCAAAATTTTGAGATGACGTCAATTTTTTAGGGTGATGAGCAAACACATTTTGATCAAACATTTATCAGGCTTATGATAACTTTAAAACATCTATAAGATCTCAAAGCATTCGGTATTGTAGTTCCTAATTAAATCAATAAAATAAATTTAAGCATTCATTTTTTTGAGTGACTCTGTATATGCAAATCCAAAAAATATGAATGGAATGATAAATCACAAGTACAGACTCCTCATATTTTGGATATTTTAGATTTTAATCGGCAAACTTTTCAGCTGACGTCATCAATTTTTTGGAGAGGATAAGTAAATATATTTTGATTAAAAATTTATCATGCTTATCATAACTTTAAACATCTGCAAGATTTCAAAACATTCGGTTTTGCAGATTCCTAATTAAATTGCAAAATATTGTTTATTAACGATCTACCATTCCTACGATAACCTTAAAACGCTTCCAAATTTTCAGCGTATTTGCTTGTGAAATTTCAAAGTTTAATTGTTAAATGTTGTTACACAATTTCGATTTTTTCCCAAAGGTCTGGATGTCTAGGGTTAAAACTCCACACAAATTCATAAATCAGCAAACCACACATTCAAGAGTGTGTAATTCTATAAAATTAAAAGAATTTTTTTTCCGCTAAATGACGTCATCACCTTTTGAGGAGGCACAAACAAAAAAATATTGATTTATGAATTTATGTGAGGCTGTTTTATTTTAAACAGAACACATATTTTATTTATAATCAAACGTTATTTATGATTACAATGGACCGCCGTTAGGTAATAGTTATATTATGATACGAGTTTTATAAGAAGTATTTTAATTTAATTACGCCCTACAGGAGTAAACGAAGAGTCTGTGTATTCTGTAACCGCTTGTAAGCAGGAATATCTGGCCAAATACCGTGATTTAAGAATTCAAGAAACATCGTTAGAGGTTCACATTAGATATGTAATCAACAGATTTGTTCGAACTGGCAGTGTCAACAAAGGGAAATCTCCTGGAACACCTTCAGTATCTGAGGACGTTGTTGATGATTTGAGACGACTTGAACACAATCCGCAAACATTTTCGACAAAATTTCCTTAGCAGTCAGGAATTCCCATTGCAACATGATATTGAATAAAGGTATTGATGAAAGGATCAAAGAACATTTTTGAAATTAAAAAGAGAGTGAACATGTGTCTTGAAGAAATGGTAAACATTTTCAACATTTACTGTGATGTTTAACCGCTATAAATTTGTTCCATACATTAGTTTTATTTTTTAATAAGATATGAAACATTTAGGCAACCAATTATATAGATACGTGTGGTATTTGTTGTGCGTCCTTGAGCATTTAGCAAAGTTTAAAACTGGGAGGCGGCACGTTTTCATGACCTACTTCAACTCTAAAATCATTTATACAAAGCCTGTAGAAGCAGCTGTTAACAGTATTCTCAACTTATATTTTTACAAACATAGGGTATACTTTTAGCAAATCATAAGTTGACGAACAGTTAACAAAACCTGGCTGCATTTAAATGTAGTAATCAATAACTTTTGTTTTGGTCGATGGCTAAGTTAGCGCTTAGTATTAACATTGCAATTTCATGGATATAGTTCTCGCATTTATTTGAAATAGGTTAAAGATTTTGTGAAATGTAAACAGCGATTTTTTTTTGAACACTTGAACTCGCTCTAATTTCGTCAGGCTGTTTGTTCTTTCCAATTTTTTTAATTTGTAGTATAAATGAGACTGCTTCTTCAAAATCGTATATTGTGTAACAAATGCATGAAGTGGATTTTTTTTACACAAGGATGATGCAACACGGGTCGTAGGCGAGTTTTGCAAAACACGGAAGGTAAAAAATTCTTCACCACCACCACCTTACATGGAGCAAATTAAACAAAGTATAATACTTATATTAATTTGCTTTATTATTGTATAATTGGTAATTATAATGTTATAACTTGTTAAGATGCCGAAGTCCATTTTTACTGAAACCATTAATCAGTTATTTATAACGGTATTATTTTTCATGGCCCTTTTAACAGTTTGATTTGGATTGACAGCATTTGGTTTGCCATTTTATTTTTGTATTCGATGAATTTTTGACGTACCCAGTTTTCCGCGATGCTAGATTTCTAGCCTACGTGTTTTTTAATGGTACGAACGTCTAGAAAAATAACCCATATGGCTCTTCGACATTAGGCGATTTGAAATATTTTTCAATTTTCCAATTTTCCAATTTTGTTTATTCGGATGACCTGGCGCGTACATTTTCCCCTTTTTTGGTTATGAATGACTTTGTTTCTGAGTAATTTTACGGACGACGTGACGCATATTTTTTATGTAATTCGAAATTTTCAGTTACTGTGAATTTTCTTGTTTTTTTTTTTTGGCTGTCAAGTACATACATTATAAGAACGTACATTAGTTTGTAATGTTCCTCTCACAGCATCAGCAGTTCCAAATAACCTATGTGAAAAGCAAAAATAAAATATATATTTAAATACCTATAGGATATTAACCAATATTTCCACTTTGCTTAAGGCTTAAAGTACTCTTCGACAACGAGTAATGACTCCATGATGTTGATAATTTAAATTCCTCGATAATTCTAGCAAGTATGTTAGTATTGCATTTCATAAAATGATCAATGTTCTTCCTATTAGCCTAATCCCCTAATCCATAAATTTCTGGTATGGATTCTCCCAGACACTTGATGGTTTTTGAGGTGGCGATAACGAAGTACTTGCTTTATTTGCTACCGCTGTAATTTCTGGTCTTCGGCAAATCTAAATCTAAATTCGAATCCCAATTGATCATGTAGTTGATGAAAAATATCCCAACATGCTATAAATTGAACATGTTGTTGTTGTTATTTCATGAACGGGAGTAGAAAAAAGTTACTTCAAAAAAATATTACTCACGTAATAAAACTTGCGTCCTATGAAATTCCTTTCCTCAATTTTGATCGAACTTACATTTTACTCCACGGAAACAATATATGAAGGTAAACTCTTCTTTAAAGACAGCATAATACGTGATTGTTTTGTTATTCCATATTACATAACGTTTCTCTTCAAGTCACTGTTCATTCCTGAACTCCTGATGTACGTATCGCAACGAAAAGCCTCTAAAGTGTTTAATAATAACCAGTTAGACTAAATCAGGTTTGAAAAATAGCGTAGCAATCTTAGGGTAATCTGACTTTGATTACATAGAGCGTGCAAGCTGTCTCGGGAAATAAAACGAAATCCTTTCTTTTGTAGTATCTATTCAGAGCTTATACAATTTAATAATGATTGTACTGGCGGACAGCGTATGTCACTCTATGAATACCCTACACAAGTACAGTTAAATTTAATTTAACCAGTGACAATAGTCTGTTACAAAAGCTTCAATAGCGATGGTCGTTTCTTCACTTTTAAACAGATATTAGTTTAATCGATTTTTTTACACCTTTCACGTACACTATAAAATCCAATAAACACACATTCAAGCGACAACTGACGATGATGTTCCGGCGTGAAGCTTCACAAAAACACATAAAACATCTCTGTTTATAGCTCGTCCATCGATTTATGGTTGTAACGTTAACCCACCTCACATCACATCTTCTAAAAATAACAATAATTTTATGTCACACATGTCAGGAGCAATATGGTACAGTGTTTATGGAATAAGAGTCGAAAGATATCACCGTACGTCCTTGGAATTTGCATAAGAATAAGACGTAATGTTCCTGCATAAATAATTAATTCCTTTTGCAAGCACTATTGTAAAAGTTAATACATACCTACACGTTGTAATTATTCGCGGAATATGAACTCGTAAATGTAAATTTCGTGCAATCGTGTAATAAATAAAACGAAAAAAAGGCAGTGTGTGGTTGGGGAGGAGTTGAGACAGGCGAGGCTAAATTTACTTTTACCTGACAGAACGCATACTTATGAGAATATGTAATTTTTTGGTATCTTACAGTTCTGCAATGTTATAGTTTTGTGTTTAATTTTTA